CCCGGAAGTCGGCGCAGACAAGTGCGTGGTCAGAGTCCACGCTCGTGCTCCAAATCGATCGACAGTTTTGGACACAGCCACTTCAGCGGTAACTGACCGCGATATGATCGATTTGCGTCCATGGCTGCCCCGAGGCTGGTGGGCGTCAAGTCACGCTTCCGCGGATGCTGTGTCGAAAGTTTGTGCTCGCGATAAAAAGACGAGCATGTTCACAGAGCTGTAGCAATCTCTCACCGTTAGCATTATAGGAGCCTACACCATGTTGGCCGTGCAGAGGAAGCTCATCAGAGGACAATGTTCCGACTTAGGCGTTTAGACCGCCAGCCAACACCACAGTATCCGTGCTTCTTCTGTAACGAAGGAAATCGTGAAGTTGCTGATAAAAATCATCTTTCACTGAACCAGTGCTACAGTTTGTAGGGGCGTAGGCCGCAATGACAAACAGGCACTGTTTGTTCTCGCGCGACTTCGTAGCATGGAACGAACCAGCTAATCTAATGGCGCACACCCGAATGTTGACTGGGATCCAGTCGATCAGGGCAGCTACATACCAGGAACTGAAAACAATACCGATGCTAGCTTGACCGGCATTTGAAGCTGCATCATCGCCAGACAGGCGCAATGAAAAGGTGGCGCCAGTGTCGCATGTGCGGAATGGCAGGGTAAGCACGGAGCTCGAATCTTGCAGGCGGATTTCTGCTAAACAGCAAATATCGATCGATAGAGTCTTTAGTGTGCTGGAAAGTGCTGCCTGTTGGCCAAGCTATAGCAAAGTGCGCACGTTGAGGCATGCCAGTGTTAGTGAGACGCGAGGACTCCAAAGAAAAATGGATGAACTGACGTTGTCCGTTTGGTTGAACATGGACTTGTCGACTGGATTGCAGCGACGCCCTGTGACTGTGTGTGAGTTGAAACTAGAAGACAAGCGATTATTAAGACAAGGTGGGGGAGGGCCAAGAATTTGGGGGTTGAAAATGTAGGGATAAAAGTAAAGTTGGAACGGGACGATAAGCAGAAAGACCTGAGCAGCAGCATCCATACCCTATCCACCTTGCTCGATTCAGCAAATAAGGCGCCATTGATTATCCTCTGCGATGGCCAGAGCATCAAGAAATGGTTAGAAATAAGGTTCAATGTATTGCGTGCGCAAAATACTGTCAAGTTGCCCAGGCGCAGGTATCCATATTTTCCGCGTACTTTCAAGGCGCTTGTTTGAAAAATGGGCGTCGTTAAGCCTATAGACAAAGGATGGAATTCTCATGATTCAGGCAACTGCAGACTAAGCATGAAAAAAATTCTCCAACAAGCATTGCAACTGCATTTAGAGAAGCCAGATTACATTCCTTCCCCCAACGTGGCTTTCGAAGTCCACGTTCCTGTACCTCTCACGTTTATGTGACAAAGAGAAGTGGGCGCACTCCTTAGATGGTAACAATTGTTTGGACCTCGTTTTTACCGAGTTCGGCAAGACGTTCGATAAACTTTACCACGAAATGCCGTTTTATACACTCAGGAAAATTGGTGCCTCGGAGAAATATTTTCTCAGATCAATGACTTTCGGACTGGGTATAATATGCATATGAACGCGAACTAATATCTTCCATGCTTGTTCCTATGACCTTCTGTCGCAACGAGACTGGACCTTAGCGTGGTGCGACGGTTTGCATACCTCATTTACCCAATGAGCTATACTGGGTGATGTCTCCGAGCATCTTGAGAGCTACTCCTACCAGGTTGTTCAATGGTGAGGTCAGACAAACTCAGTCTCCTGGTCCTCCAGGTTGGGGGTTTGAAATGGGATGGCGTCCATTTCAGTAAAATTAAATCATTGCCACCTCCCCGCTGCATTGCGGACAGGCTTTTGAGCCAAAGGCTTTGGATGAGGACCCCAATCGTTCTCCTGTCTAGGTCTGGGCGCCCTGGCAGTATCCCAGCCCACATACAACCATGACATTTTCTTCAAACATAAACTTCATCCTGCATCGGCAGTCGCGCAGATTATCAAGGGTCGCCTTATCTGCTGCATACAGCAGGACGGATAAGCGAAAACATGCTACTGCTGGCGCCTCCCTTCTCTTTTCCACCTTTTTCTCTTACTCCCATCCCGAGCCCCATTACTAACCTTCCTTCTATAATTCCCAGCTTAACTGACAGCAACCGAAATGCCACTGGAGTTGAACCATCTGCAGCCACCATCCCACCACAACCATCGGACGCCTATCAGCAAAAGTCCCTTATAAGGCCAAGCTATCCCGTTTCCATGGCGACATTCAACGTCCGCACTCTAAGACAAACAGGTCAACAGGCTACACTCGCACGCACCTTGGACACACTGGGTATTGATGTGTGTTGTGTGTCCGAAACTAGGATCAATGACCCTAAGGGGGTTATGAATTAACTGCACCCGGCTTATCTTCTCGTTTTTGGTTGCACGCATCCCGAGACGCCGATGCAGCACTCACGGGTCAAGCTGGTGTAGGTATCATTCTAAGCTCCAAGCCTGAGCTATCGTTAGTTGATTGGATTCCGGTGAACAGCCGTTTATGTGCAGCCCGTTTGACGACATCAGCTAAGGTTGATTCACGAAGTAGTACAAAACGCTGTTTGTTTGTGATTTCCGCTTATGCTCCCACCGACTGCAGTTCAAGTGCAGTCAAGGACACATTCTATCACGAACTGAACGCGCTACTACGCAGTGCTACTGGTTCAGATATTATAGTACTTGCAGGGGATTTGAACGCACAAGTAGGGCTTCTGAACTCTTCAGAAGCTCAGCTAGGTGGTAATTGTGGGCTTAACTCCGAAAGGGGTGACAACGGTGAGCGCCTGCTGCAACTGGGTGCGGAGCACCAGTTGTTTCTAAGTAGCACTGTTTTTAGACACAGTGGGCGCCGAAGTGCCACTTGGCGTCCTCCTGTAGCTGCCCAGCGATGGACCCGAATTGACCACATAGCCATAAGTTACTGATGGCGTGGTTCCATCCTGGATTGCCGCTCGTACTGGAGTACCTGTGTCGACTCTGATCATGTCTTGGTACGCTGTCGTTTCTCCATGAACTTTACCAGGAGGCGCACCAAGCGTCCCCTACGATTGGCAACGGAGAAATTGTCTCAGTTCTCGGTTAGGCAAGCACATCAAAAGGCACTGCATATCGAACTCTCGTTGTCTTGTCCTAGTGACCCTGAGCTTCAGTGGAATAGGATCTCGGCCGCCATG